ATGGTTCTGCACCATACAATGTTATACTTTGTATGAGTCGAAACGTCTTTTCTTGGTAGACTTGGATATTTCCTTTCCCCAGAGCAGAGAGTTTAACTTTGTAATAGCTTACCGTCCTTGTGTAATTTTTGAAGCAAAATCTTTCCTGGAATCTCCTTCTTCGCTAATAATTTCACCCAAATATTTAAATTCATATCATGCTTCTATCTGATTCAATCAATTTTTTGGTATATAATTTATTTTCTTGTATTCCGCGACCATATATTTTGTTTTGAGGAAATTGATCTTTAATCCTGCTTTCTTGTATGTTTCCACAAGCTTTCGCATCATGTACTCCATGTCAAACTCATCATTGGACAAAATCACCTGATCATCAGCGATCATCAGAATAATAATGTATGAAGACAATTTTCATCAATGTATATTCCCATACTTCGGCACATAGTTTGCCATCCTTTTAGACTTTCTTGGAGGTAAATCTTAAACAAAGAGGCTGATAAACAACATCCTTGTCTCAGTCCCTTTGTTTGTCCAAATGACTGCGAAACTTCATTTCCCACTTTTATTCTTGTTTCTTGATTCTCATACCAATCTTTTACTGCATTTATATATCGAACGCTGATACCAACCTTTTCTAGAATTTGGAAGAGTTTACCTAATAGGTCCGTATCGTAAGCTTTTTCTAAATCGATAAATACAAGGTAAGTCTCCCCATTCCTAGCTAATCTCTTTCCTAGCACCTGCTTTATTGTAAAGTTATTATCGATACATAAGTCATCGATACATCGATACATAATTACATACTTAGTTTACTTAAATACTTATTGATATCTCAATTTATCTATTCTTCAATTAAAACATTAAGTCCGTTGACAGTTCATCAGCTGTGCCGCTGTCATCCAATCGAGAGTTTCAATGTCACTGCAATGAAGTATTATGGTGACGTTTAAGCTCGTTATGCTTTGTCTTTATATCTTGTTTGTTTCTTGTTATACTTTGTTGGAGCTAGGTATAACAAGAAACAACGGTATACCTTGTTTAATCCGTTAAACTCTGATCGCATCTGCTTGCTCACTGAGCGGAAGACGCCACTGATGGCTTGTAGAAACTATCTGAAATTACCTGTCAGAACAATCGGCTGCCAGAATTCTGAAGACAGCGTGTGAGTGAGACTTTGTGGGCAGTGTCGAAAATTCGCGACCGTCAGGACTCGAACCCTAGGGCCCCTTCCCACGCGGCCACGGCAGCGCGCGTCCGTCAAGCGGCAGAGCTCTTCGCCGACCCTCCGGCGACGACGGACAAACGGACCGCAGCCGGTGAAACGCACCGACCAGCGACCGCAGTGGGAAGGCCACCATTTAAAGCTGTGCTCTGCTAGCGGTGGCGCGTACCCCTCCTCCGCTTCGCGTAGTGTGGCGTCATACGGGTGTAATCGAACACAGACGAGAGTGGTTTGTAAAACAGTAGATTTATTAACAAACTAGATTGTAGTCTCAATTTAACAACTACCCTGCTCACAATAAACTAAATAAATAGACCCACTACAAGGAGAGATAATTTAAGAACGGCTACCACACCGCAACATACCACTGATGTTCCCTGTATGAAGTCGCACTACCTTGAGACCATCTACGCGTTTCGCAAGTCACGACATTGAATTGCCGGCCCCTCGCCCTAGTGCACCTACACGCACAGACACGCGCTTCACCTGTCGCCGACGCCGCTAGCACAAGAAGACTGGAGCATTGTTCTCCTGACCGTTATATAGGCCCTTTGGCTCTACCCGCCGCCCCCATTGCCACCTCCCCAAAGCCGCTCTGGGCCCACTACGTCCACGGAAAGTCCCAGGGCGTTATCACTCCGCCCTTTGTTCAACATCCGGCGGTTTGAGCGTGGCAAGACTCTACAGTAGCGGGAGCTCGCTGCCACTTGGAGGACGTGGTGGAATACCCCCAATCACTCATCAGCAACCACGGGAGGGCTGGAAGATCCACATACGGTCCCTGCACGCTGCGGAGGATGTCCTGGGGGGCGCTAAGTGGCCGGGCCGTCCCCTGATCTGAACGGCAAGCGGTGTCGCCGTTCGGTCGGCCGCGTCTGTCTATCAGCGACACAGCCGCGCCGCGGAGGCGCCAGCGCCCCACGACAACTGAGCGGCGCTTTGGTGTGTGGTGGGAGAGAGGGGGGTGCGAGGCGCTAGTATTTTCCATAGGACGACCGACCTTGAACACCAATCAGGTATCCGCACAGAGCAGCGAGGCGCGCTTGTGCATGAAGCGAACTCGTCGACCACCAGACGACCTGTGAATTAATGGATGGAAGATGAGTGGTCACCGCCATTCCTGACGTGCTAGGCGCAGGTAGCCACCTATAGTGAGAGACGCAGCGTCATAGAACTGCATCGCCAGAGTGCATACTTCTGTATTGCGCAACGCAACTGACTAGAAGCAGCCAGAAGTTAGATCACTGTACAGGAGGTAAAAAAGCGACACCCTCTGACGGCACTGGCGTTCGTGGTTTGTGACGGGGAAGCCGGGCCACTCCCATGGATGTGGTGCGTCACGCGTTCGAGTCTTCAGGTGCTTCAAAGGACGGCTCGGTATGCCTCGGCATTGCAAGTGATGTAGCCCGTGGCGGAATGTAGTCTTACTTTGTTGGTCTATGTACGGTGGAGTGGTATAGAGTCGTCGAGTGGGCGGAACGTACGTTTGTACTCGTTACTATGTCAATTGATAGCGGTGACGGGAGTTGTGACTAGGCATAGGGAGCACTGGCATGCAAGCATAATCTATAAACGAATAGTCTAGGTGTCTTATCTACCGTTTGCTGGTGGTATAGTGAATTATAAGGGTCTGTTCTCAGTCAGTCGATCGAGCTACTTGATTTCAACCATCAGAGTGCTGAGTGATGTCATCGCCTCAAAAATAAAGTGAAACGAACTCCCTGTGATGCTGTGTTAGTTGTGGCCAATGAAGACAGTTGATACGGGTTTTTTTTTTTAAGTGAAGATTCAACTTATCTGGCTGGAAAAGCCTATAGGAAAGAAGAAGGAAGGGAAATGTGAGTATATTTTCAATTTATGTTGAGACTAATGTACGGCAAAGAAGGGGAGAGATGAGATCTACTGAGGAAGGGGTGAGATGGAAGGTTTGGATAAGTGAGATACGTCCTGTGCAAAGTAGGGATGTTAAGAGGAAATCCGGAAAGTAACTCTCCAATTCAAATATTGCGCGCACACAGATTTTTTTAATACAGACCTCAAACCGGCAAAATTTACAGAAAAGAAAGCAAATGTAAACAGTAAAGTTTATGCATGTTAGTTATAGGCTCATTGCAGGACTATTTATTGTACTGATTCCCTTAACATCATTAAGCACTTAATAAAGCAAGCCACATTCTACAAGACAATGTTTTTGACGAGAATATAGAGCCTCGGATTTTGCTATCCTTTGAAACGCAGCTGTTGGACAGCATAACTACCATTAGTGAATGAATCAGAAGTTTCAATGACAAGTAAAGAATCTTTTCTCTACTGTTTACTGTTTTGTACTTTGAGGATACCGCTGAGCATCAATAGCAAAAGTATTTTATTGAGTAGTATATTTGAGGATAATGTTTACTTAGAGATGCATTATTGGATCGGGAAATGGCAGAGAGGTGGGGAAGTTAGGTCGATGGCTGGTTGAGAGGTGGTGAGGTGGACGGGGGATCGTGATGGCCATAGGAGGAAGTGTGTCGAACAGGCAGACGATACGGGACAGTGAAGATGGAACGTGGGGCGGTGGACGGGGGGGCTGGGCGGGAGATGGGGGGGCGTGGTGGCAGGGCAAGGGGCGGGAGCGTGTTGGGCAAGGATGGGGAATGGTGGTAGGGCGGGGGGCGTGGTGGTAGAGGGTAGGGGGCGATAGTGTATTTGTGGTGGGGGCTGGTGGCAGGGGACGGGACATGGTGGGCAGGCGGGGGGGGCGTGATGGGAGGGGCGGGGGCTGTGGCGGACAGATGTGAAAGGAGGCGGGCGTGGTATGCAGGTGCATGGGGCGTCGGCGGAGGGGTGGTGGCAGGGAAGCGTGTGAGTGTAAGGAAGGTCGGGAGTGTGGTGAGGTGGGTGGCAGGGCGGGTGTGTGGTGTAGGGTGGGGCCGTGGTGGCTGGGGCGGGGGAGTAGTGGCAGGGGTGGTGGCAGTGGCAGGGAATGGGAAGGTGGTCGGAGGTGGCGCGGGCAGTGGGGGGAGTGTGGCAGGGGCTGGGCGTGGGGGGAGGCGTGGGGGCAAGGCGGGGGGTGTGGTTTGGATGGGTCGTGGAGAGGCGGGAGGCGTGTGGAGGGGCGTGGGGCCATCTGCAGCGGCTTCGGCGCCTCACGTGGATGGCAGCGCGGTGAGCGACGAGGTCGAGGAATCCGGCGGCGGGGGCGTGTGCAGGCGAGAGGCGTGGTGGCAGGAGGTAGGGGATGCGTGGATGGGAAGGGGCATGGCAGGAGCGGGGGGTGTGTGGTCGGAAGGCTGGGGGTTGTGGTGGCTAGGTGGGCTGTGGAGCCGGCGGGGGCGTGGTTGAGATTGATAATGCAGTGTAGGGGCGTGGGGCGGAAGGCGTGGTGGAGGTCCGTCATGGACCAATGAGGCGGCTTGGCGCCGATACCGTGGAAATGCACAGCGCGTGGCGCGCGAGGGTCGTGGCCTCACTGCGGGAAGGGCGCAAGGGCAGCAGTAGGAAGGAGATAAGTGACACGCTCCGCAGTGGCTTCGCAACAACAAACTATTATCGAAAGTGTTTAAAAAAAACACTTAAAGTTCTGCTTTTAAAGGGTGT